GGAGGGTTTTAGGCCAAAAGGCATTGCTGCAAAGATTTTTGAGATTCACTGGATAAACCAAATTGACTACCATAACGGCCTCACGCTTGAGCACCTCCAACAATTCTTGGCATTATGGGAGAAGCTTCTGAATGTCATCATCCGGCCTGGTGTCAAGGATACCATCCTTTGGAAGTTAACCAACGATGGCCAGTATTCAGCTAGGTCTGCTTATATTGCGCAGTTTGCTGGCCTTACTCGCTCAAGCTTGCATGCCACTGTCTGGAAGGCTTGGGCACCCCCCAAGTGTAAATTTTTGCCTGGCTTGTCACTCAAAACAGAATTTGGACTGCCGATAGGCTCCAACAGCGAGGATGGCCTAATTGCGACCGATGTCCACTCTGTAATCAGGTGCAAGAATCTGCAGCTCACCTCCTCTTCAAGTGCAGGTTCTCTACTAGAGTTTGGAATGAGGTGTTTGCCTGGCTTGGTCTAAATATCCCCACGACTCCTTGGCTCCAGTTTAACACGGTCAAATCTTGGTGGGACGTGCTACTCACTAACAATAGTCAACCCACGAAAGCTCTATCTTCCCTTCTCCCTCTTGTGGGATGGGAACTTTGGAAGGAAAGGAATATGCGCGTCTTCAGGAACAAGGCGGCACCGTTGGCGATCATCATGCGATGCATCAAAGAAGAAGTGTCCATTTGGGCCATTGCGGACGCCAAACATTTACGTAATATAATGCCGCGAGAGTAATTGTTTTGCCTTTTGACCACTTGGCGGTCTGCTTGTAACGAAACCTTTTTCTTAATTAATAAAAATGACAAATCTTTTGCCTTGTTTCAAAAAAAAAAGCACCCACGACCTTCATTGTCGCGCCTGCGCTGGAAGTTGTCGACCATGCGACAACTCGCCTCCGTCTCACCACATGCTGGAGCGCCGCCGTCGCCGTCATGCAACAAATCGCCCGTCTCCTCCGCCACTGGATGAAGCGCCAAGGAGGGTGCAGCCAGCAGGAAAAGCACGGGCCGCCCCACTCCGTGTCGTACCTGGCTCCAGCGTTGCCGGCTGTGCTTTACATGGACTGTCCAATACCGCTTTGACCATGCCACGTCATAGATAAACCAGGTTTGACTGAGGCAGGGACTAACTTTATCCGGTTTTGAAAGTTGAGGGACTAAATTTTACTGGTTTTGGAGTTGTGAGACCATCTCTATACTTCTGAAAGAATTAAGGAAAAAAATACTTTTCCCTAAATAAAATTGCAGTGTTCCAATTATTGAATCTTCGATCAAGTGGTTGTTTAATTCATATATAACACAATTGTTAAATTAATTAGTTTTTTTAGCTATATTATAGTTTGAGCTAAGGGCTTCTTCAGTGGCGGAGCTTCGTGTAGCCACTCCTCTCCTGTTAATTTGCCTACCTTCAGCTGATGGCCCCATCTTGGATTATGCTCAAGCTCCGCCACTGGGCTTCTTACAATTTTTACTGCTGCTAATTTGCACTTTTACTAGATTCATTTTTTCACATGAGTTAGGTTAGAGCAGGGTATTTCGTAAATGAGTTTATGTAACTTTTCTATCTGAGAGTGGATATGTTTTTTGTGCTAGATGGATTGACTCCTACCAAAGACTGATCCCAAGCAGAACTACAACCTGTCCATGGATTACCTGCAGGCCTGCATTCTAACCAACAACATTGGGCAGTGAGCGAGATGGGCGAGCGGCGACCAGGGAACACGCGGGGTGGTGCGACTGTGCAAGAGGTGACAGGGAGCCGGCGGAGACTGCTAGTGGTGAGCGGGCGGTGCCGACCTCGAGCGGTCAGCACCAGTGGCGAGCAGACAATCACCGCGACGGCCGAGCGGACAGGGCGAATAGGTGCCACGAACTGCACCTCAATTGGAATACAGTAAAGAATTGATATGAGAACGATGCATATGTGTGACCATCAACTGAATTTTTGTGTTTTGTGTGCTTGTGTTTGCAACCAGCCAAGGACTATTATGTGCGCGATTGTGTTAGTAATGGGTATCTCTGAAGAATATTTCTCATGATGCCACCGTAGCATGGCAGACCTTGTAAGTGCCACGAACAACATGATATTCTTCTTTCTACTTTAATTCCTTGATTTGAAAAATAATTTGCTTTGCGCGTGTAGGAACATAGAGGTCGGGCAAACGAAACTTCGGCATCTTGATCAATCAAGCGAAGTTTTTAAGCGTACATACAAGTAACTTTGCAATCAAGTGCTGTTGTTGCCTTTTCAGTTTCACTAATTGCTAGCCAACGTCAAGGTTCATATTCATTTTTATTGTATAGATGGAACGATATTGTCTATATATGGACACAAGACGGTACTCATGTAATACTCGGACACTTGCAACATGCCATTGCTAAATTAATCTCTACCATACTTCTCCATAACATCTACTGGGGTAAGGTTGTTTCAGTTTAATTTAGCAACACTTTGCATGGTCTAGATAGCTGAGGTTCTAAATAAGCTATTGCTTATTTTCATCATTTCAAAATGATTTCGTGAAGTTTTTGTTCCCATCTATATGATCAATCATCCTTTTCCCTTTATTTTTTCCTTTCTGAGGTCAGCTATTTAACTGTTAAATGATAATTCATTGAACTCAAATATGCCCTCCTCTCTGGCGACACTGGGGCGACTCCCACGCGGCTTCCCCCCACCCCCCTTCTCATCGCGCCGCCGCTGGCGAAGCCCGGAGGGCTCCAATGATGGCGGTGGCGGGCGGTTCCCTGGGCAGCCCCCACCCAGTTCTCCCGGCCTCCATGGCATGGCGGTGACCCGGCGACGCGAGCTCCCAATCTGTGGGCTTTGGCGGCGGGGTGTGGTGGTGGTCCTTGGTGAGCGGCTGGCAAGGGCTGGCGACGCCGAGGGGCCCAGGTGCTGTCGGGGCGGGGCTATGGCGGCAGGGGCTGGCGGCCCAGATCTAGGCGCTGCGAGCCTGTTGCTGCCTCCGTGGTCGTCCTTGCTGTGGGCGGTGCAACACCTGCTGCTTCCGGCATGTGTAGCGGTGGTGGATGGCATGGTCTTCCGGTGGAGGCATCAATCCGAGAGCAGGTCCGCTCCGTCCTCAAGCTATGTGTCAGGATGCCCAAAGGGCTGGACTTTTCCCAGCTTTGCCTGCCGTTGAGGGATGATCCATTGGCAGGGGTGCCACGGCATCGTCCCGGCCTCCCGTTTGGTGGCGGTGTGCTACCGGGGAGCTCGCTTTGCCCGGGAGGGGCATGGCGGGGCGGTGGTGGCCAAATCTAGCCGACCCGGGGGTGGGTATGGACTTGGGGGCTGTGCAGGGGTGGGGAAGGAGGTCCCTTCCCAACCCATCTCTTTTGTCATCTTGGTTGTAAGCGTGGGGCAAGGGTAGCGGTGGAGCTATGGATACCGAGGCGGACGGCCTTGGTGGTGGGAGCCGTGGTGATCGGGGGCAGAGCTTGCGGCTCAGGTGTTGCCTTGGTGCCATGGTCGTGTGGGCGACGTGGTGGCCAGAGTGCTAGGGTCGGTGGGGTTGGCGCAGCGGGCATATGTGGCCTGTTGTACTACGTCTCAGAGGAGAAGTGCTTGTCGGGGTTAAACTTGCTCTGGCTCTGCCAGACCGACGATGGCGACGCCTGTGTGGGTGTTGTTCCCTTCTTGAAGGCGACGTTGTGGTTACTCTTCTTCCTCCATGTTGCTTCGAGGGAAACCTTGATCCTTGGATCAGGCGGTGGCGGCGCTCCGGTGTTGCTTCCTTCTTAAAGGCACCGCCTTGAAGACCCGGCGCCCGGCGCATCGTACACGACTTCGTTCAATGCAATCCCCTCCACGAGCCTTCGTTCCTATCTATCCATAAAGACCAAGCAAGAGCAGTGAACACATTCCAAGATAATTTGCAACTGCTGCCCTGAGTTCCCGTCACAAGAGAGTGAAAATCCACAAAGCTGGATGGTTGCCATGATGCCTCGATTGCTTCACGAACAACACTCCACACAACTTGTGCCACTACACACTGAATCAAGATGTGGTCACAGGTCTCATCCTGTCCGCACAACACAAATTTGTCATCGTCCGTCCTATGCTGTTTAAGGATCTGATCCCCGCTAGGGACGCGGTCTTAGTGATCCGCCAAAAGGAAAATCTTGATTTTAGCTGGAATACACGCTTTCCAAATAACTATAGTGTCACATAATTCAAAATTCTTGAAGATTTCTTTGTATAATGATCCCATAGAGAAATGGCCCAACAACTCTAGGCGCCTGCTGGCGAAATCATGTCCGTCGAAGATGTGCCTCCCTACCAGCAGGCCGACCAACCCGTCCCATTCGGTCAGGTCTAACGGACCCAAGGAGCGTTTGAAACAGGAGAGAATATCACATGGAGATCAAGTTTCGGTGGAAACCACATGGAATCGACGTTTGAAGTTTCAAAAAAATCTCAAAAAGAAAAGGAATCTAAGAGTGTGATGTTCTATTAGTACATGAAATTCATGAGTTCCAACAAATTACCATTTACGAGGGAGGAAAAAGCAAAATCAGTATTGAATAATGCCGAAGAGTAAAAACGTCACTATTCATCACTGAATTTCTTCTTTTCATAGCTCCTAAATGGTAATGTGTTTGAACTTAGCATAGAACATCACCCTCACCAATTCATTATGGATCTTGATGATGAATCTCGGCTTACACATGTTTCGGCATTGCAACTAGCTTGTCGTACACGTCTCAAATCTCCTACTTTGCTGCTCTAAAGCATCGACACACCTGTGAAGAATCCGATGTCGTTTGCTTCAAAGTGCATGAGACAAAGCACAAAGCAAACCCAATGTGCTCCCTTTGTTTCCCTTCTTTAACAAAGCAAAGCATATATCATTTTCTTAATCCGGAGTGCACGCAGCCGCTTTAATTTAATTGGCAAGAGCAAAATGCACACAGTGGAGACGCTCAGCAAGCGCCTCACTTCAGCTTCCTGAACAATCCTCCTGGTAGCCACAGAGGAGTCATCGCTGTAGCATGTCATCAAGCTCGGCGAGGGATGGCGCGGGCGGGAGCTCGCGGAACTACCGCAGCGGCTTCGCCAGGAACCTCGCGAGGCTCCCGTCCAGCATCGTGGAAGGGCTGTCGAGGTCGATAGCCCGCCGGGCTCCGAGGAGCCGCCCGCAGGGCATCCAGGTCCCCCAGCACCACCAGCCGCCGCCGCAGTGGCCTCCTCTTCCAGCTGCTCCTCCTACTCCTCCGCCCTTCGTGCCGGAGGAGCTGTTCTTCTTCAGCGCGTTTGAGCAGCAGTACGGCGGCCACCACCCGTTCTTCTACGGGTGCCGGCTCAGCGAGGTCCTGGCGATCGCCCGGCGAGAGGGCAAGCACGTGTTCGTGTACCTCCACGACCCGGCCCACCCGTACACGGAGCCCTTCTGCCGGGGCACGCTCTGCTCGGACGTGGTGGTGGAGTTCCTCGACGCCAACTTCGTGTCCTGGGGCGCGGTCACCGGCAGAGGGGAAGGGTCGGGCATGGCCGCGTCGCTGCAGCCCGGCAGCTTCCCGTTCTGCGCCGTCGTCGCCCCGGTCTCCAGCGAAAGCATCACAGTCCTACAACGGGTACGAACTACGAACTACGAAGCCGATAGTATTGGACTTCACAGTGTCAAGAAACAGATGAGCTTAGCGTTCCATCGTATGAGTATTAGGTTACAGAGGGAGTACAATTGAATTTTTCATCTTTTTATTGAGAACTACAGCATATCTTGTCTCCTCGCAGGTAGAAGGGCCGGTCACGCCGTCGGAGCTCGTGGAGATGTTGCAGAGAACCATCGACGAGCAACGCGTTGCTTTTCGAGCCTCGATGGCTGATGACCATGCTGCGGCATTCAGAGCCTCTAGGGCTGAGGAGGAAGAGAGGAGGAGATCGGCTCTACGGCTGCGACAAGAGCAGGACGCTGCTTACCTCGAGTCACTTCGGAAGGATCAGGTCCAAGAGCAATAATTTTCACTCTGTGCTGTACATGCCCTGCTCAGACTTAAATATCTCAGTAAGCTGTGTGTCAGTGCAGGAAAAAGAAAGATCCAAAAAGACTCTTCAGGAGGGAACCGCAAGGCCAAAGCCAAAGCCAAGCACGAAATATCCTGGCCAGGCAGGTAGAGAAACTAGCAGGACAACCCAGATCAGAACACCTGCGCATAAGGAAACTGCACCTTCACACAGAACGGAAGCAAACACCAAGGTATGAAAACTAAACGAATTCTCGGGTACACTCGCGATAGATAGATAGCAACAACAAGATAATATCAAAACTCATGAGCAGGGGAGTTTCATATGCCTAATTTTTTTTTAGAAATGGAGGAGGACCCCCTACCTCTCCATCTGGACGATGCATGCAGCCACTTTATTAATTATTCACACACGACCTTACAAAGTCATACAACATCTGTCGCTACTCCTATCCAATTGATTAAGGGATGCTGATAGTCTGGGCTTAATACCAAACAGACTTCGCAGCTAAACCTAACATCTAAGACCTGAGATCCCAACCAGGACGCCTGCCGGGTATGGGGCACCCACCAGTCCGACGCACTACTCAACCAGGATGCCTGCCGGCTATGAGGCCGCCGCAGCCACCAGCCACGAAGCCATATTTAGTGTTGTACTACTGCATCTACTTTGCTCGGTCTAGCTGCCGTCAAGGCCACCACGATGTCAGACAATGCCACCATCCTACGCTCGTCCATCATCACACGCCCACTGACGAGACCCCGCTGCTCCATGCCGCTGAGACCCGCCATTGTTAACGTGCCAGATGCCACGCCGCTCCTTCTCTTGTCCCCTCCAGTCAGAACTTGCTCCAAAACGATGCCCCCAGGAGGGAGAACGACATCGAAAACGTTGTCATCGTCCGATCTGGTAGACCCAGATCTAGGGTTTCCCCCGAAATCTCCCGATCAGGTTGACGTGACCTGCAACGACGATGTCTCAAGAAGGGAACGACGTCCGAAACGCCACCATGACCGCAGTCAGGCGCGATTTTCACCGGAAGCCACGTCGTCCCAATCTCGCGGCTGGCTGGAACCGAGCGGAGCCTTGTCACGAAGACGAACGCCGTCTTCGGTAATCCGTCCTCTCCTCACCGGTCCCTCCAAGCGCCGCCGGTCGGCGGAAGGACACCCCGCGGCGGATCCGATCGGGGCGTTGGATCCACAGTCACCGCCGTCATCATCTCCACACAGATCAGCCAACCCCGCCGGATGGGGCGCTCCCACCGCCGCCGTCCATCTCAAGGCCGTTGCTCCGTCGGCTATGGTGCTTGGGCCACTGCCGCACGGAATGGGGTCGCCGCCCCAGCCGCCGCCTTCGGATCCCATGAGAGGTGCTGCCCCTGCCGCCTCAAATGAGATCCCGCAGCATCCACCCGCCCAGGTGCCTTCGGCACCGGGCCCGCCGCCACCGCGGCCCACGCCGGCGGCAGAAGGAGGCGCAAGAGGCGGCTTGCGGTGCTAGGGTTTAGGGGCCCCTGGCGTCGCCCAGGGGGAGGCGACGCGAGAGGGAGGGTCTATCTTTGTTTATCTATGTCTGCTTTTCAGATGCCTACATATATAGAAACTGTTGCAAATTATGCATAAAAGTTCACTGAACACTGCTTTTATGTGCAGGTAATGATAAGATTTCCCAACGGCGAGAGAAGGCAGCAGAGCTTCGGTCACACGGACACGGTAAGGGAAATCTACAAATATGTTAATTCCTTGGGCATACCTGGCATAGGAAAGTATCAACTTGTAAGGAGCTACCCAAGGAAAACCTACGGGCATCAGCAGCTGGAGATGAATCTTGGAGATGCAGGTTTCCGTCCGAGTGTGACACTATACATTGAGCAACTTTAGTAAAACATGATGTAACTACGAGACTGAATTTATATTTGATGCAAATCATGTAATACAAACATGCCAAGACATGAAGGCGTGCAGCCAGTATGATCACCAATTCACCATTTGCCATAAGTCTTAACAGCCACCATATATTTTTTTTGAACCGGGCATTATCCCTTTTCATTACTTTTCATAACAGAAATAACATCAATTCGACTTGACCAGGAAACTTAGAAAGCGGAAGCGGGTTCAACACATCAGTGGGAAACCCACCATGGGCACCCGTCATCGGGCAGCCCACCATGGGGCGAAAACCCAATGACACCTAAGAATCTACGAACACCCAGATAGTTCATCCATTACAAGCCTGTAGATCAATGTTTTAAATAGCCGGCTATAGCGGCCTTTTCATTAGGGTGCCGCTAAATGGTCCCATGTACAAATAGCCCGCCATAGCCTGCTATAGCCCACTATAGCCCACTATAGCTCTGCTATAGCTGATGTTGGGGTCCGTCGCTATTTGGCAATAGCCTGCTATTTAAAACATTCGTTCAGATAGGCCACCCCACACAAAAGCTCACACAGGAGCATGAACCTCACAGACGACCAAACTAGTTTCTTCAAACACCAACTTCATGCGCCATGACAGGAGCACAGGAGCCAAAAAACACGTGAGGGAGGGAAGAAGTACTGCATCCCGCCATGAGCCACATGTTCACCTTTCCTTCTTCACCCATTCCGCGTCACATCTCTCGGTGCTGCACAGATTCTCATCATGTTTGTGGCGTTGATCCTCAACATTTTCGATCCACGCTCCATCGCCTCCCGATCTTCACCCGACAGCAACCTTGCCCAATAAGAAATATACCCACAAGCAGAATATACCATATCAAAAGGAGACTTCAACTCTTTGAATTCAAAGATTCTTTTGTTACGACAGTTCCACATCGCCCAGCATAACGCAGCCAGGCTAAAGGTATAAAACCTCTCACCATCAGGAAGGTAACAATGACACCAAGCAAAATATTGCCACAAATTGTTAGGGCAACTATCCGTGCCCAAAACACACCCCACTGTTCTCCACATAACTCCACCAACCGGGCAGGCAAAGAAAATGTGCTGAGAGGTTTCTCTGCCATTACAGAAAGCACAAACCCGGCCCTCCCAGCCACCGACGTCTACACATGACGTCCCTGGTCAGGACAGAGTCCTGAAAAAGTTGCCACAAAAATATCTGAATTTTAAGGAGAATTTTTGCTCTCCATATCCATTTGAAATTGCATCCAGCTAGAGGTGTCTCAAAGTACTCATAAACAGATTTAGTATGTAGTGAAATTTTTCTTCTTCCCCAGGGACCAAACGACTTGATCCGGGTCGTTAGATAGGGGCAAAGCCCGCACCTTAGCTTGCATCCCACTCCATTGGTCAAAGAGGGTTGAGACTTCTTCTAAAGAAGTTCACATCCACATCCTCCCTGAACTTTTTTTTTGCGAATGAGAAACTTGTATTACTCAATCAAGGGGTCCTTACAATCATCAGCTACTATCACCAGAGTCTCCTTCGGACCAGACCCTAGCCAGGTCATAGTCTTGCCATGAATTCTAGCAAACACTGCCAAACTATCACTAGCCTTATTTTGGGATCGAGAAACATGAGTAATACAAGTTTTTCTAAGGGATAACAAGTGCTTAATCTCCTGCACAACGGGGGCATAGACTGAACGATCGACGCCTTCACATGAAATCATGGTCACGGCCTCCTTGGAATCCAGCTCCACCACTATTGGAAGATCACAACGTTGTAACGCTAGAGAAACACCTTCCATACAAGCACAAAGCTCCGCCTCGAGGGCATCACGACAAGAGAACAGAGATTTGCAAGCTGAAAAATTAATTATCCCCTGATGATTACGCAGAATCATTTCAGCCCCGGCCACTTCCGAAGAAACGAAAGAACCATCAGTGTTCAGTTTAAACCAACCCAAATCCGGGGCACACCATTTCTTCCCGTCAGCCTCGTTGTTAGTCCTCAGATCAGGAGCTGGCTTATCATAGACTATGCAAGCTTTACCTTTGATCGCGTCCGCCTTGGGGTTAAGATTGATGCCAATCAGAGAGTCGACATAACTCCGGAGAAATCTTACAGAGGCCTCCAAAGGAGGTGCAGGTTTGGAGTGCACAATTTCGTTCCCGATGAACCAGGATCTCCAAAAAACCATCATCACCATCATTCTCCCCACTTCGTTCAAAGGCGCCAAAACATGGAGAAGCCATTCCTTGCCATTATTCACTAATTCTTATAGCTTCAGTATCACCCACACTTTGGTCATGGCAAGATAAAGGTCGCGTCCAAGCTGACAGCGCACACAAGGGTGAAAATTATCTTCTTCCTCCACACCACAAACCGGGCACTGGCTCACAGTTTCAAGTCCGATTCTATGTTTCCTTTGCCATGTCGGGAGAGCATTGGTGGAGAGGCGCCATGCTAAGTTACGCACAGAGGGTGGAGCCCAGCTCTTCCAAATGAAGCCCCAACATTTCCTTTGACCTGACGGCACCGAGCTTGAAGAAGTTTCAGCAGCACGATGTACTTCCTCAAACGCCAAGTTATAAGCCGACTTTACTGAAAAAACGCCATGTTTGTCCGGGCCCCAAGAAAGCACATCGTCCTCCAGCCGAGGAGATGCTCTGATTTTCAGTATCTCACGTACGTCCGCGTCAACAAAGTACTCAGAGAGGACCTCATAGTTTCGCGATCCATTCTGGTTTTAGTAAATCTGACACAAAACGGATACGACACCTTCCCTGTGGCAATATTGGCTTATACGAAAAGGGTCTTGGAATCCACTTGTCCCGCCACACTCGAATGTTTCTGCCGTTCCCCACCCTCTAGACCAAACCCTTCTTTAGCAACTCCAAACCGTAGCTGATAGCTTGCCAAGATGAGGACACATTCCCCGAAAAAACAGTGTCCTTTAACTTACCCAAGGGGTAATATCACGCTTTAAGCACTTGGGCACACAAACTATCTGGTTTAGTTAGTAGCCTCCAAGCCTGCCGTGCCAATAAAGCCTGGTTAAAAAGTCGAAAGTCACGGAAGCCCACTCCTCCCTTGTCCTTCGGCTGTAGCAACTTATCCCAGGCTCGCCAATGAACTTTCTTCCTACCTTCTGATGAACCCCAGTAAAAGTTCCTCACCATGCGAGTGAGATCATCACAAACGGAGAACGGAACCTTGAACACCCCCATAATATAAGTCGATAGCGCAAGGGCCACTGACTTGATCAATACCTCATGCCCTGGCTATGCCAACTGCCCATCTCCCCTGGCTATTGTTTGCGGATGGTTCTTTCGCTTGGTTAGGCTAGCTTGCAGATTTTGAAATTTACCTTTTGACATACGCCCCTCCGGGGTTGGCAGCCCCAAATACCTCTCCTCAAAATAAGGATTGGCGACCTGTAAGGCAGCCCGGACTCCTGCCTGAACTCCCTCCAGGCAAGCCTCACCGAAGAATAAAGAGCACTTGTCAACATTCAAGTTTGTCCCGTAGCCATGCTGTACACGTCCAAAACCCCTTTCACCTTTTCTGCTTGAATTGTGGACGCCTCAAAGAACAAGAGAGTATCATCCGCAAACAATAAGTGTGAAATGCCCGGTGCCGTCCTACACACATTAACTGGTGTGATGTCCCCCTCTACTGCCTTGCTTTTCACTAGAGCTGATAAACCATCTGCCACGAAAAGAAATAAGAACGAAGATAAGGGGTCTCCCTGCCGCTGCCCACGCGACGGTGCAAACGAATCCAAGAGAGTTCCATTAAAATTCACTAAGTATCTCACCAATGTGACACATGACATTATCCAGTCCACCCATTGTTGAGAGAAACCCATCTTTTGCATCACTTGCCTCAAGAAGACCCAATCTACCCTGTCATACGCCTTTGATAGATCAAGTTTGTAAGCACAAAAACTCCTAGACGGGTCTTTTTCCTGCTTAATGTAATGGATGCACTCGAAGGCCACAAGCGCATTATCCGTGATCATTCTCCCTGGGATAAAGGCACTTTGCTCTGGAGAAATAACACCATCAAGGAGAGGCCGCAACCTGTTCACCAAGCACTTGGAAATCACTTTGTAAATGACATTACACAAACTTATAGGCCTATAATCTGATAACTTGGTGGGGTTTGAGATTTTAGGGATTAGCACAATTGTAGTAGTGTTTACCCCCTCCGGCATCACACCCATAAGGAAGAAATCCTTAACTACCGCCAAAACACCATCTCTTAGGGTGGCCCAATTCCGTTGGAAAAAATCTGGCCGGGAGGCCATCCGGCCCTGGGGCTTTGAGCGAACCGATCTGGAAAAGAGCATCTGAAATCTCCTTGTCAGTAAAGGGCGCACAAAGTCTCACGTTATCCTCCTCCGACACCCTGGCTTCCAAAAGATCAATGACGGGAGAAGTATCCAAGGAAGTATCAGCAGTAAAAATGTTCTTGAAATACTCCTTTGCCATCGCCCCCATAGTTTCAAAGTCTGAGTGCACAGTGCCGATACTATCCGTTAACTCATGAATTTTGTTTTTCCTTGCTCTCCAAACTGCCTTACTTTGAAAATATTTGGTATTCCTATCCCCTTCCTTCAACCAGGTTATCCTCGATCTTTGTAGCCACATCATCTCCTCCTGATACAGTAGTTCATTCATTCTATCAGTCACCGTTCGTATATCCTGCCTATCCGCATTCATGTGCATAAGTTCTTCCAGTTGTGTCCGTGACTTAGCCAACTCTCGGGTAACATTACTAAATTTCTTGCTCCACATACACAAGGATGACATGGTTTTAGACAACGCATCTCACAGTTGGCCCAGGTTCTGCACATTACCCACGGCCTCCCAAGCCTCTTTAACCACATCAGGTAGCATAGAACCCCTCTCCCAAAATACCTCATACCGCCTCTGCTTGCCTCCATTTGGCCCTGAATCTGCAGCCCCTTTGAGTATTAAGGCCACATGGTC